TACTGTCATCAACTTTTTGTGCTCCTTCTGTTTCTTTGCTTTCTTCTAATGGCTTTTCTTCGATTTGTAACATCTGAATGATCATTTAATCTGCGATTGATCAAAATTATTGCCTTCGAAAAGAATGACACAATGTCTCTGATCTATTATTCATTTTGTGTTGAGCACAACAAACCATGCGATCCGCACGGTTATATAAACAAATTAATGATGTCAAATCATTAGTAGTCACAATCACTGGACCACAAAGCATATTGATATCATTGAAAATTGACGTTATCGAATAGTTCATGATATAATCAGGACAGGATTCATTAATTTCAACTGGAAACATCTTAATGTTTGTTGTGCGTATATAATTCCATGATTTGCAATTGCCATAACAGCATGTCCAAAGAAATATTTCAAATAACTCATCTTACATAACTTTTGCAGCTTTGAAAAGCAGCAACGAAATCATCTGAGAACACAGTGAAGAATACGAATGTTTTCCAATATTCTTCTCGTTGAACAACAATTGATAATTCTGAGACACAACGAACCTGGTTGCTACACGATGCTGTCGGTTTCATCATCGTCCCCAATTCACCAATTTCATCAAAATATCGCTTTGATGGTCCCGGTTCACATGGCACATCGAACTGCTCACCAACACAATAACGATCACCTATCGTATCACTTACATCTGCAGTATTACACTCTATGACAAGTATTTCTACGGCTTGCATTTGAATCCCTTGTAGCTCTACTTGTTCCAATTTCTGATTTAAAAATGCTAGACATCGGTGATAACAGACACGCATAAACTCGTAATGAGTTGCTGGATTTGTTAGTTGAATCAATAAATAATAATAAGAGGAATAAATAGTAATAATAGTACTGACGTATTGCTGGCGATACGGGTATCTCACCGACGTGAAACGACACACAATCTGATACAGTCGTGGCTGGATCACGCCTGCTCCCTAGACCTTCCGATAAGAATGCGGCTGTACTGCTCATTTTTGATGGATACGACTTACGGGTTGCCTGCAATAGACCAAATATTATGAATGTCAGATTAAACATCTGAAAAATCCTTTAACCCATACTTCGAAAACTATTCACGAGAGCATAGTGCTGTTATTATTGAACATACCCAACTTATGGACTGAGCTTATCACTGAAAGGAAAGCAAATAGCATATATCTGATAAATTTTTTGATCATGCAGTATTTGTTTGCATCATTTTTACTCATGGATTTCGAACTGATTCTTAGCACAGCCCCAAGTCTGTCTTGCCTCAATCCTACCCACCCTATCCTGGGCCGTATTCAGACCTAANTGCAGCATTTATTTGCATCGGTTTTGCTCATGGATTTCGAACTGATTCTTAGCACAGCCCCAAGTCTGTCTTGCCTCAATCCTACCCACCCTATCCTGGGCCGTATTCAGACCTAATTGTAAGCTGGACTGGAAGTTGTGTGAGACAAATCACAATCTTTTAAAGACCTCATTCACAGTCAAAATTTAACTGCAGATCATTCAATAACTTGGAATATCACTGTGTCATACTGTACCGCGTGGTAACAGTGGCTGAGTGGTTAGNTTCCACAACAGTACCACGATGGCCGATCAGTAAGGCTGAGGGTTTTTTCCGAAGATTTTCTTTTACAATTTCGAATGCAGATGCCCCCTAAAGTGGCCTACAATAAGGAGTGGAACTTAAACAGTTCATCTGCTGGCGATCCGAAATGCTCTTCGTTTTGTGGATTGTCACCATTCCTCTGCAGTAATTTGTCTTAGCCTCACCTTCTTGCATTCCTCGAGAGTTCGTTGACTCAGCATCGTGCCACTGCGGGCATTGGCTTTATTGGCCGTAACGAACGCAGAGCGTGCACGTCGAACTCTTGGCTCTGCATCGCTGCTCATTCGTCGAATTGGTGGCGGTGTGCGACGGTTACTGGTCCACCCTCGATAAGTGCCCTCCAGACATGGCTCCGAGAATTTACGAACCATTCCCGCATTACGACGACGACTATCCACATCCGACTGTCGTCTGCTGCAATTTATTCAAATTATCCAAATAAAAATTCCACGAGACATTAAGATCTCCGCATATTTGCACGATAACGAATGAAATTTTGCTATCGTACATTTTAAAATGTTCACGTATGGAAGCACTGAAATTGCAAATGCTCGAAAGTAACCTTTCAAAGGAATCATTAGAACATTCGTTGCTGACAAATACCCAAATATTCAAAACAGACAATGTCATATGATGAACAAAGCAACCTCGTTCCAGCAATATTCAGCAATTCAAG